ACTTGCACAGTCATGCATTGATCTGAAGGATGCGTCTGCTCCTATCAGGGCCCCTCCCCTTATTGGAAGAACTGAGGATTAGATGACTTGAGCCCCATCCACTTCACCCTTGTGCCCAGGACCTTGTAGTCGCTCTTGATTTGCTCAGTGTCACCCCTGGAAGTATCACTGGTGCCCACGTGGATGAGCATTATGGGTAGTGGTCAGAGGGCTGGACGAGTCTTGCTAATCCTTCTGTGACATTGGATCCAGGCTCCAGACAAGCAACAGGCCTCCTGGGACAACAGGTCAGGCTGGCAGATGGATCCCTCTGTCCCCTGCAGAAGGGGGTTTCCAGCCACCATCACCCATTGCTACCTCTTTGTGGCAGTGGTTTTGATCCTCCCTACCTTGGGGATTCTTGGCCTGGCCTCTTCCACCAATGGAATACACTCCTCTGCCTGCATTGTTAGTGCTCCATATCTGTTCTCCAGGCAAACCACTGCATGTGGGGATGGCTACTTCTTGCTGCCATAAGAAACAAGCTTCCAGCTTCTGCCTTCCTGGAAGTCCATGCCCTCTTTCTCTACTAGCATCACCTCTGGCAGTTCTTCCTCCACAGTCCTAGAGGTTTCCCTCAGCATGGAATCAATGAAGTTCTCATGACAGAGGATGCTTTGGAGCCTTGCTACCTCCCATGGTACCCGTCTTGCCTTCTCCCTGAGGGACACCACCAAAAAGGCACTGCTCACATTGCAGGAACTTCTCCACCTGGCTAACACTGGACAGAATCTGCAAGCTCCAGTCTGCACAGCACCAGTCCAGGACCTGGGTGGAAGCCTCAACAGTGTGTGGTCCTGCCTGGACAGACACCTCACAGGTGGAAGCAGAGGAAAAGCTGGAAGTGGCAGTGGCTCTGGGATTGCAACGTCTTCTGGCCATGTCTCTGGGTCTTCTAATCTGTTGCCTATCACTTTGTCCCTCTTTCCAAGTAGACCATCCCTAGCAAACTCCTCTGTAGCTGGCCTCTTTGCTGTTCCTTGATCTGGAGGGTTCCTTTTTCCCTACAACCTGTTTCCTCTTAGCAAGCTTACAGTAAGAGATTGTGTAAGCTTCCAAGGAAACTTCCCCTCACTCTGGACTCCACTTAAAACAAGGAATTTAAGTCTTGGTCTAGCTGCTGAGTTTTAGCTGCTAAAATAAAACTATGTAGTTAGTCAACCTTAATTAAATATATAAAACAAAGAAAGAAATCTAGTTTTTGTGTGTGCTACGCAGAAAAGTAATTGATATAATATTTTATTAGTGTTGCTTCATACACTACCACATTACCATAGATAATTTTTCCTAAGTCTAAAACAAATAATTACAAATGGATTTTTAAATGTCCCAGATTCTGTGACAGATGAGTTGTAAACTGTGAATGAAAGCTACACATTAGAAAACAGCCTGCAAATTACATCATTTACTTATTTAATACATTTTCTAAGGAAGTAAACAGTGGCAGGCTTGTGAACAGCAATATATACGTAGTATTTTTCTGAGGCTATCTTAGCTTTAGTTTCAAAAGTATAAGGTCTGTGCAATATAAACAATCAAATTTTCATCCAAAGACAAACCTGAAGACCTCTAATTGTTTCATTTGTATCCCCTTTAGCCTAAAGTGTTCAGAATTAGCATCTTTAAGGTCCCAAGAAGTTTTTCCTAAAGCTATGCTATTCTTTCAGTTGCACCTGTATAGAATTAATAGAGTTATGGTGGTATCTATTAAATGGATTAAAGATACATCTATCCCATGTGCGCATTTCAAATATAATGACTGGAATCCTTTTTCTTTGCTGAGAGGAAAAAATCCCAAAGCTTTATGAGATAAGCTATGGGAGCTGATAGAAGTGCAGGCCCCTGCTCTAACTCATGGTACTTTGCATAAAGCACCATGACTTAGAGCCCCCCACCCCCAACACTTGTTTGCCTGTTGGGCTGAAGGGGGGGAGAAGAGGAATTGACCCTGCCTGAAATGAAGAGCTGCATCTCTCTCCCAGCTCTGCCCCTTCCCCTAGCTGTGGGGCTGT